AGACCCAGCCTTACCCTGAGCTATCGGTGTGACTTTGTTTGGGGTTTTTTGTTTTGTTTTCATCTGTGTGATTTTTAGCAAGACATACAACCTTTCTGTGCCTACAGTTCCTCATATGTCCCATGATGATGATGATGATAGTATCACCATCATGAGGTACTCAAAGGGTTGATGTGAAGATGAGAACCTTGAACTACCTCATGTGCTGAGCACAGGACCTGGCACAGATTAACCTGCGGTCAATATTAGATCGCTTTATGTCCCTTTTGGCTACCACTGTTGATTAATCAAGAATAAGAGGACAAAGACTGGTGGTGCAGTGGTTAAAAGAATAATGGGGCATGTCACCAGGCTTTTGTTACATAAGTGAAGTTATGGTGAACAAATCCATTTTTAAGGGAAACGACTTCCTCTGCCTTCTTCTACCTCAAAGGGAAACGATGCTAGAATTGTAGACACTTTGACCTGTGAGCGGATGTGAAATGCAGACTCTATTGACCCTTAAGTGTGCTGAAAATTGAAGTCTTGTACTTTTGACTTAAACCCATATTTATACCTTTACTTTTATAGTTAGTTTAGAGAAAGGCGCTCATGGAATTTATTTTAGAGCGTCTGATGCTGGTGACATTTCATAACCTTTCTGGGCAAAGAAAGGTTAGTGGAAAAGTGGACTGATTACTTAAGATCTTTATTGTCTCCCTAATTATCCTAGAAGCATGCCTCAAACCAATCAAGCATGCACACTCCAGTCTGCATGGCACACTCATCACAAACTAGACCCCGATATGTACGTGGGTCTGGGCCCAAGCCCACTAGCCCAGTCTGTCCTGCAGTGCCTATACTTGTACTGGGGATACACTGTTTGGCTGACTGCTGTTTTACCATACAATTCAATACCGAGTTGTGGGTGTCCCCACCATCTTGTTCTTCCTTATTTCAGGCAGTATCTCTTCCTCCAGCCAAAGACCAGAAACGGCTCTTTTTTGGTGGCAAATCATTCATATTCATTCTCATGCTCTCTCTTCCCTTCCTCTCCCTTCTTTTCTCTCTCCTGTCCTCTCTCCTCACTGACTCTAGCTCCATCTCTCTGTGTCACTGTCTCTCTGTTGTGTCTGTCTTGTTCTGCCTCCGTTTCTCTCTTTCCATCACCCTCTTTGTGTGTACTTCACTGTCCTTTCTATGCCTTTGAGATTTCTTCCACTCTCTCTGCGTCTCTCATTCTTTGATTCCTTCTTTCTGCTTCAGTCTCTATCTCTCTCACCCCTCTTTTTCTGTCCTCGCTGGCTTTCTCTCTCCCACCCTATGTCCTCGTTCATCTTTCTCTGTCTCTCATTTTCTCTTTGTCTGCGCTCACCCCCTATGCCTAGCTGTCTGCCTCTGTATATTCATGTCTCTTAGCCAGTCCACTGGATAGAAGGGCAGCTGTCAACTCAAAGCCCTGCAGATACCTAGCAACTCATTCAGACTCAGCAGAAATCCTGACCCTCATGTACACCAAACCTTTCCCCTCCCTAGTGTAGAGTGGCCCAGAGATATGCAGAAAAGCAAACCAGACCCTCATCGATATTCAGTAGCACAGTTGATACCCAAACCCAGTCCTCGGGACTGTGCCTCTCTCCCCCACTGTAGTTCACAGTTTACCTCTCCCCACCCAGTATCCATGAGGATGGGGGAGCAGTTCAGGGAGCCCCCCACTTTCCTTTCTGTCTTCTTCCAAATTGGGCCCTGACTCAGGCAAGTAGATCCATGTCAGAGCATAGGGTGTAGCCTCACAAGACCTGGGTTTGGTGGGATCCCAGGGACCCATGAATCAGGAGTGCTAGTTGTCCAGAAAGTAGCAATACTGGGGGGGACATAAATCAGATGGTCTGACTGTGGACAGAGCTCAGCTGTGTCCCCAATACTGGCACCAAGCCCTGACCCTTCTATCCTGGAGCCCCACCAGAGAACAAACATGGTGGTGAGGTCTGGATGACAACAGCTGGGGGTGGTTCTGCGCCACCATGAGACCCATGTGCCCCAGCCGCCGCCTCTGATCAAGGTGAAGGTGGCTATGAGCCTGGGAACATGACCCGAGGATGGGCAGGGAGACTGGGGGCCTAGAGGTATCTACTTGCTGCTACTCCGCTAAGCATTTCACAGACATGAACTTTGGAAGGTGGGTACTGTTCCTGTCCCTGTTTAAGCTCCTGTGGGGCAGAGCCAGGCCCTGAGCTGGGAGAAGCAGAAGGGGGATCCTGACACTTAGGCCTTCCGGGAGCTTCTGAGGCGACTAAGGGGAGACTTGCTACACTGACAGGCCTGGTGGGCAGGTAGCCCTAGGGAGCAGTAGGCTTCCGATCATTGGACACCATGGACAGTGGCCTGCACACGCTGAAAAAGTGGGTGCCAGAACCCCATGGAGTCTGTCATTGTAGGGTTCTTGAGTCATTGGAATCTAAGAAATGGTGTCCTATGATTCTGAGGTTCTGGGGTTGTACCATTTTAGGACCCTATGGGTCCTAGTATCTGGGAGGGCCTGCATGGACAGCACCTTTGACCGCCCAATGGCCCCAAGAAGGGCAACAGAGATACGGGGCCCAGGACTTGTCATAACGGGCAGATCTATGTCACCCGCCACATCCGCCAGCACCCATATCACCCACCTAGGCCAAGCTGGCTATAGGACAGGCCAGCTAATTCTCGGAACGAAACTTGAGGGGTGGGGTGTCTGCCCCTTCTCAACCTCCTCCGTGCGGATGAAACCCAGCGCATCCGGCTGCCATGACGTCAGTGGCAGAAAAATCGGGGGAAGTCAGAGGCCCAGATGCAGACCCCAATAGGAGAACATAATCTGTGTCCGAGAAACAACCCCTATGTAGCTTCTGAGAAACCTAGTCAGAAAGGGACGCTCTAACAGACAGTGCAGGAAACTGGCTGCCCAGCCCAGCCCCCCAAGTACCCCGACCAGACAGACGGCATCCAGGTCTTTTTGCTGAGAACGTGCCTATGCCGCCCCAAATCAGCCCGTTCCCGATATGTTCCAGGACACCTTAGGGCAGTGGTTCCCAACCTTCCTAATGCCGCCACCCTTTCATGCAGTTCCTCATGTGGTGGTGACCCACCCCCCCAACAAGAAAATTATTTTCTTTTTTTAAAACATTTTTTAAGAAGCCCCCGTAAAATGACTTTTGTTGCTACTTCATAACTAATTTTGCTACTGTTATGAATCGAGCGACCCCTGTGAAAGGGCCGTTCGACCCCCAAAGGGGTCATGACCTACAGGTTGCGAACCGCTGCCTTAGCTCTACTGAGCCTCCAGGAAGTTTCAGAAAGGACCACAGGTCAGCTGGGTGGGCCTGAGTAGAGTGGTGAATGTGCCCAATTGCTCGCTGGCTTGCTCGCTCATTCATTCCTTTCATTGGTCACTCACTGGCATTCTCCCACGCCTTTGTTCTGAGCCTCCAGTGGCCCAGAGCCTTGATTCGCATGCAGTAATAACCCCATGAGATACTGAAGACTTAGCACCTGATTTCTCACACTCCACATTGTGTGGACTCGCAGCCACTTTCCCCGGTACCACAGCTCTAACAACGCCCATGAGGGGACGGCAAAGAAAGGAAGCAGCAGATGCTTCCCGCAAACCTTCCTGGTGCTCCTCTGGGCTGCTGTCAGTAACTGTATGTGCAACCAAGTACCGTGGGGCAGCCTGGGGAGGGGCTTGTGAAACATCCACATGGATACAAGTCACCATGGATGGTGGAACTCTGCACCCTGGCATCCCCTTCAGTAAAACGGGGTGGGGATGGACTGTCCTTCCAGCTCTGCCTGTCTCTCATAATGGGACTACAGGATTCCAAGAAACTGAAGCCCTGCCCATCGGGGAGGGCAAGGTTTTGAAGCTCTGTAGTGGGGTCTGGAGCCATGATGGAAGGCCTTCTAGATGAGGATGATGTAAGCTCAGACTTGGCTTAACTGGAAAAGGAGAAGGAATGAAGAGGTGGGCATTCCTAGAAGGGGAACTAGCAGAAGCAAAGGCTGGAGGAGCAGAGTAAATTCCGGGAGTGAGGCTGAGTTGAGAAGAGCCCACAGGCTCTGGCTCAAGATAGCCTGTCTCTCCCCTCCTCTGGCACCATGGTCCACATGCCGGCTACATGCCGGCTACATGCAGGGCAGGAGCCCACAAACGATCAGCCTTCAGCCTTGACCTGCGCTCCAGCCTCTTCTCTTCAGCTACCCACTCGATGTTTCCACTTGCTTGTCTGTCACCAGACTCATCGTGCTGGTCCTCAGTTGGACCATCATTCGCAACCTGCTCCTTCCCCTACTTCAATTAAGATAAGCTCTGTCTTGACAGCTGCTTAGGCTGAAACCCAGAAATCACCTTGGCTGCCCCACACTCAAGCTATTGACTATTCTTTCAAATTTTACCCAGAATCCACCCACTATTCACAGCTCCCCTGCGCCACCCTAGTCTTGCCTGGATTCTTGTAGCAACCTCCCCACTAGTCTCCCGGCTTCCGCCCTCACCTGCCTAGGGTCTATCTCCCCACAGCAACCAGACAAGTCTTCTGATTCGAAGGCTAGATATGCCCGAGTCACTGAGGTAAGATGCCCCATGAGAAAGTCTTATCCATGAAGGACCAGCCGCCCAGGTGAGGCAGCAAAGGCCATGTGACTGGAATGTGCTGCCCTGTGCAGGGTGCAGGGAGGACCAGACACTGAGGCTTCAGGACAGACCTCACATGAGAAGAGGAAGGCACTGAAGTTCCACCAGCCATGGGGAACATGTCCAAGCCCTGTCTGTAACACTGGCACATGGAATGTGTGTGCAGACATGTGTGCTTGACACCAGTACGTAAGTGCAGGGGTGGAAGCCTCCCAGAGGCCTGACCCAGCCGATGCCTGCTCTGACCATGTGATGTCCATGTGATTGAGGTGGATGAGTATTTGGCACACGCCCTGCTGACCCACACATTGATAACCCCCTCCTCCTATGTGTCCACAGCCTGCCTTCGGACAAGGAGCCAATGCCCAATCCCAGGCCAGCCAAGCCCTCAGGCCCTTCCTTGGCCCTCAGCCCATCCCTGGGACCGTCACCCAGCTGGAGGGCTGCACCCAAGGCCTCAGACTTGCTGGGGACTGGGGGACCGGGAGAGACCTTCCAAGGACGGGACCTCCGAGGTGGGGCCCATGCCTCCTCCTCATCCTTGAACCTCATGCCACCTTCGCAGCTGCAGGTGAGGCCCAGGGCCCAGGATGGGGCCAGCAGGGTGGGGTACCTGGGCCTACAGGTGCCGACCTTTACTGTGGCACTGGGCGGGGGGGCCTGGCTGGGGCACAGGAAGTGGTTTCTGGGTCCCAGGCAAGTCTGTGACTTATGCAGATGTCGCAGAGCCAAGAAAGTCCCCACTTGTCAGGCCTTAGAGATTCAAGGCTCTCCCTGGCCTCCCATCCCAATCTCAGGGGATGAGGGAATGCTACCCTAGTCCCACAAACCCAGCCAGGTGTCCCCATCGTCATGTGACAGGGCTGGGGGCCCAAGGAGGTGAGGTAACAAAGTTGAGGCTAGTTCTGCCTCATATCAGCTGTGGGATCTTGAAAAAGAAGTCATTTGGTCGCTCTGAGCCTCTGTTTCCAGACCCGTAAAATGTGATCAGAGTGCCTATGATGTGCAGTTGCAGTGAGAGGCATATGGATTAGATGTGTAGAGCAGTGAGGGTAAGGGGTGACATCTCACCCTCCTGCCTTCTTCCCCCAGCTGCCCACAGTGCCCTTAGTCATGGTGGCACCCTCCAGGGCACAGCTGGGCTCCTCGCCCCACTTGCAGGCACTCCTCCAGGACAGGCCGCAATTCATGCACCAGGTACAGATTCTGAGTGGGCATGAGGGAAGGAAGCAGGTGGGCGAGCTGGGGAAGGGGAGGTTCTCAACCCAGGCTGAGCCATAGCTCACGTGTGCCCTCCAGCTCTCAGCGGTGGAGACCCACGCCCGGACCCCTGTGCTGCAGGTGCACCCACTGGAAAGTCCAGCCACGATCAGTCTTCCGCCACCCTCCGCTGCCACTGGCATCTTTTCCCTCAAGACCCGACCTGGCCTGCCACCTGGTAACCCCACAGTTCACACCCCCGCACCTTCACAGAAGCCCTGCCTCCCCAAATCCTTGAACAGACGTGAAAGTTGTTCGGCGCTGTGGCCCTCGGGGGGGTTAGAGGGGTCAAGTCTCCGAGTCTCGGAAACTCCAACCTCCGAAAAAATGTCAGCTCAGAATCTTAACGATTCAGAATGTCAAAATTACAGAACCGCAGATCTTTGCAAAGTTAGTCAAAATGTCAACACTTGCAAGTGGCAGTCTTGAGCTGCTCTGGCGAAGCCTTGGACTTTGAGTGCAACAGAGCCCCAGGAAGTCAGAGCCTTGGAGGCTCAATGTGAGTAGCTCTGTGGGTCTACCAGAGCCAGGTCCACAGCCCAGACGTGCTCTGTCCCCATTCACAGGAATCAGCGTGGCCAGTCTGGAGTGGCTGTCCAGGGAGCCGGCGCTACTGTACACCTTCCCCAGCCCTGGGGCACCCAGGAAGGACAGGTCAGTGGGTAAAGCTGGGGAGGACTCTGGCCGTCACTCCCTCCCCTGACAACCTCTGTTCCCCCCAGCACACGTTTGGCCACGCCCCAGGGCTCCTACCCACTGCTGGCAAATGGCATCTGCAAGTGGCCTGGATGTGAGAAAGTCTTTGAGGAGCCAGAGGACTTCTTGAAGTGAGTGGCCGGGTCCTAAACCAGCTCCAGGGGCTCCTGACTTGTGGGTGGGGGCTGTAATGCAGGCCTCCTCCTGAAGGCAGTAAAAGCTGAGACTACATCCAAGTCTATTGCTATCGAGCCAATTCTGCCTCATCATGACCCTGTAGAAGAGAGAATGGCCCCATAGAGTTTCTGTAATCTTTACAGAAACAGACTGCCACATCGTTCTCCCATTGAGTGGCTGATGGGTTCGAACCACCAACTTTTCAGTTAGTAGCTGAGCACTTAGCCACTCGGTCACCAGGGCTGCTCTCAAAGCTGAGACCCTGGCCTCTAGTGCCAGCTCTCTCACTCACTGGCTGACTAACCTTGAGAAAGTTACTTAGCTACTCTGGCCCTCAGTTTGCTTGCTCATGTTGTGTAATGGGGCCTAACAGAGGTGGCCTGATGGCAGCGGGTGAGATAGTGTTGTTTACCTCTATGTCCTAGGTGAGGAAAGTAAGGTCACAGAAAGAGGTTAAGTATCTTGATCAAGATCACCCAGTTCCTAAGTGACAGAGCTGGAATTTGAACCCAGGCAGTCTGACTCGAGAATCTGTACTCCACGTGGCTTGACCCTGCCACTTCTCGTATCAACACACTAGCCTGAGTTTATTGAAGTCCTGAAGTCCCAGCTCATGATGATGGGGCTCCTCCCCAGCACCAGCACACACACGCACACACGCATGCTACTCCTTTCCACCACAGCCGGCTCTTCTCACAGATGACCCCTTCCACCTGGAATGCTCTCTCCACTCTCACCCACCTACTCAGCAAACCGGCCTGAACTGCAACGGGCTCCAATGACAAGCTGAGGTCATGACACAGAGAGCTGAGTGGCATGTGTGGAAGCAATGACAGATGTGCGAGGGAGACTGAGGGCCTCTGAGGAGCAACCTCCCCGAGGCCCTGGACCACACACACACACACACACACACACACACACACACACGCACGCACACACACACACACAATGTTGTGCCCGGAGGCCCACATGGGCATCTACGTGAACTCTCCCCCCATCCAGGCACTGCCAGGCAGATCATCTCCTGGATGAAAAAGGCAAGGCACAGTGTCTCCTCCAGAGGGAGGTGGTGCAGTCTCTGGAGCAGCAGGTGATGCAGGGGTGGGGGCGAATAAGCAAACTGACCACCCTCACTTGGGAGGGCGGGCAAAAAGGGAGGGGGCAAGGCACTCCCAGGACAACCAGAGCCGGCAAGATGTGGCAAAGGAAAGCTAGGCTGAGGCGTTATTCATGTGTCCTTACAGCTGGTACTGGAGAAAGAGAAGCTGGGAGCCATGCAGGCCCACCTGGCCGGGAAGATGTCACTGACCAAGGCTCCATCTGTGGTAAGCAACCCCAGGCCCCAGGCTGCACAGACTTCTAGGGGGAACGTGGGGTCAGGGAACTTGCACACAGGCCCTCGGGATCTATGGCCTCTGACCCCAGATCCAAACATGCCTGCCTGCAAAGCTGCCGCCTTCTACTTAACACACCTTCTGACCCCAAGTTCCCTGAAATGTGGGGCTCCCCATTCCAAGTTCAATAAGGCAACAGCAGAGCGTTAAACAAAGTGTGTGTGTGTGTGTGTGTGTGTGTGTGTGTGTGTGTGTGTGTCGGGGGCGAGGGGGTGGTTTGAATCTCAGGGCGCTGTGTGCTCAGGGCCTGGGTGCCAGGTGCTGTTTCTCAGCACTTTACAGGTGCTGCCTTCATTCAGCCCTCAAGGTGACACTGACATCCCCAATTCACAGGTGAGGAAAACTGAGGCCTGGAGAGTTGAGATGACTCCCCAAGGTCTCCGGCTACACAGGGCCGGGCTGGCCTTCAGGCTCGGCTTGTGGTCTCAGCACTGCTGTTCTAGGCCCGAGCGGTCACTGTCACACAAATCGGGCTCAGGCCACTTCCTTCCCGCGGCGCTCCATGCTAGCCTGAGGACATCCTTGAGTTTTAGACATTGATTAAAAAGGAAAGTGGAAAGCTGACACCTGCAGGTCACCCCTCCTCTCGCCTCCTGCAGGCATCCTCTGACAAGGGCTCCTGCTGCATTGTCCCAGTAGCAGGCGGCCCGGGTAGTGCCCTCCCCACCTGGCCCGGCCCTGGGGAGGCCCCCAATGGCCTGTTTGCTGTACGGAGACACCTCTGGGGCAGCCATGGAAGCAGTGCATTCCCAGGTAAGATGACCTGAGCCTGACTGTGTACCACCCGGCACCCCCAAAATGCTGATAGATGGAGCTAGAGTAGGGGCAGAAAAGAGCTCTGTGCTGTTATGCCCCCAGACTTGGGCCCAGCTTGTGTGTGTGTGTGTGTGTGTGTCAGGGTGGGGGGAAGCATCTCTGTGACAGTTGCAGGGTCTCCGTAGCCTTAAAGCACCCCTATTATGGCCTCCAAAGTCTAGCCCAGGGCCTGCCTTCCAGAAATCTGCTTCATTCCCAAGGACCGCCTCCCTAGGAAAAGTGGGTGGACCTGCTCAAGATCATTAATCCCCTTCCACCAGCCAGGTCTAGGGGGTGTACTTTTCCAGGATCCAGGATCGGAGCTCTCACACCCCACTGAGGTCCCCGCCCCCTCCACCCATTTAGTTAACACCAGGCTGCTTTCCAACCTTGGGGAGGATCCATTTGGCAGGAATGGTGCAAAGTAAATGAGAGAAGTTAGGTCAGGTGCTCAGCAAACAGTAACTGGGCGCATGGTGAGATGTCAGGACCCTGGATGCTTGGCAGTGGGGGTGGGGAGCGCTAGGACTTTCTGGTTGAGGCCTGGGCCTTCCGCCCTCTCTGACAGAGTTCTTCCACAACATGGACTACTTCAAGTTCCACAACATGCGGCCTCCTTTCACCTACGCCACTCTCATCCGCTGGGTAAGCAGGGCGGCTCAGGCCCAACCAATGAGGAGGAAGAAGCGAAGGCATGGGTGGGGGTGCCTGCCTCCTAAAAGCCTGGCCTCACTCCAACCACCCGCTGGGCTCCTGGATAGCCAAGCCCCAACCCCAAGGGGTCCCAAGAAGTCCTTTAAATGTGACTCCTGTGCTTGACATCACCCCAGGTCTGCCCTCCAGACCCACCCTAACCACCATCCAGACCAGTGCGGGCCAAATTTAGGCCTAAAACCAGCCCTTCTTTAAGTCCCAAGATTTAATTCCCCCGATAAAATAGCCCAACAACTAACTCCATCTCTAGTCCTTTCACTGAACCCGCCCCAGGTATTGCCCAGAGTGGGTCTCCACCTTCCTAATGCCGCGACCCTTTCATAGAACTCCTCATGTTGTGCTGACCCCCAACTATCAAACTATTTTCGTTGCTACTTCATAACTGTCATTTTGCTACTGTGATAAATCGGGTGAACCCAAAGGGGTCGCGACCCACAGGTTGAGAACCGCAGCCCTAACATCTTCCCCAGCCCTCAGCTCCAGCCCCTTTATCCCAATTCAACCCCATGTAGTTTCCTAGCCCTGAAGTACCCCAATGCCAATACATGCAGCAGCTGGACCCCACCCTAACCTCTTCCTTTTAACACTTATCTGACCTTTCACCTCATGCCATCCCACTACTGCCCCATTAGACACCCCCTCTGCCTTCCTAGAACCTTCACCAGAGCCCACTCAGACCTTCATTCTAGCCCCATACCTAAGTTTGAACCTGAACGTTTAGCCCTAGCCTAAGCCATACAGTGCATTTTTCCCTCTGAATTAAGCCCTCAATCTAAACCCATTCTGACCCATAATTTCACTGCAGTTGTAACCACTGACCCGCTATGCAATCCCATCCCTAAATCCAAATTGATCAATTTTCCTGACCCTCCTTTCATCTCACCCCCCATCAAAGCCCAGCCTTAACCCTTAACCTAACCCGGCATCCTCATTCTTGACCCAAAACCTAACTTCATTTCTGCCGCTTGTATAATAACTCTCTAAATAGGCCCATCTCTGACTCCTGCCCTAATTATCTTTCTCATCCCTCACCTCACCAGCCCATCACCCCCCGCCCACGCAACTGGATTCTTAACTCTTCCCTGACCTTTAACTCCACCTAACCCTTTACCCCTTCCAAATCCTTAATTTGATCCCATGCCTGACTTTTAACCTTCCCAAATCCTGAAACCTCACCCCCATAAAAGAGCCCTGACTCCAACCCCCTCACAGGCCTTTAACCTGATCCCAGCTCTAATTCTTAACCTAATCCCACAACTACTCTCAGCTCCGATCCTTTACCTAATCTACCCTCTACTAATCCATCCCCAACTCTACACCTTGCCCCATATGTAACCCTCTCCCTGATCCTTTGTTTCATACCATATTGCTCCCTTCCATTCCCCTGTCCCCACCCCTCTCCAGTTTCACCCCATGGCAAGCAGTCCAGGGTAGGCCCCTGCCTGTTTAAACCCTGATTGGTGAACCAGCTCTCCATCCAATCCCCAGGCCATCCTAGAGGCGCCCGAGAAGCAGCGGACACTCAACGAGATCTACCACTGGTTCACACGCATGTTCGCCTTCTTTAGAAACCACCCTGCCACCTGGAAGGTGAGTTCCTCTGGAAGTGGCAGTGGTTGGGAGGGTCTCCACTGCCTGCTGCAGGGCAGGCAGGGTAGGGCTGGAAGGCATATTGGGAAGGGGCAGGAGGGCAGCTGTGGGGAGGGAACTGCTGAGTACAGAGGACGGCTGCCCACCTGTCCCTCTCTCCTCTGGTCCCCTTCCACAGAATGCCATCCGCCACAACCTGAGCCTGCACAAGTGCTTCGTGCGGGTGGAGAGTGAGAAGGGGGCAGTGTGGACCGTGGATGAGTTTGAGTTCCGCAAGAAGAGGAGCCAGAGGCCCAGCAGGTGCTCCAACCCCACACCCAGCCCCTGACCTTAAAACCAAGGAAAAAGGGACGGACAGGGGCCAAAGTCGGGGTGGAGGGGGCAGGGGTGACAAGCCCTGTCCCTGTCCACAGAGACCAAGAAATGAGGTGCCCACTGTCTTGCCTGCCAGGGACCCTGCTTCCCAGTGGACCACTCCTCTTGGATCACATCCTCTGCACCAAGGCTGCTCTGAGTGGCACCAGCCCCGGCCCTCGGTCCTCAGCCCACTCCCTGTGGAAGGTTCTCTGGACACACTGAGCCTTCACACACAACCCCACACATAGCCCACCTCAGTCACTCTCAGAGAGCGTCTCAGGGCTGGAAAAGCCACACAGCCTCAGGTAGCAACCCTGTTGCTCGGACTCAACACCACCACCCAAACACAAAGAGGCTCTCTCCCTCTCCGTCAGCCTCAGAGATGCAACCACACCAACCAATAAGCATACATGCCCACAGTTCTGTCACACTCACACCCCACCCACCCACCCAAAGCAGACACACACAACCAGCCTGCTGGCTCATGCCTAGCTCACCCAGGCGCATGTGGAAGCAGCTTTGGCACACTTGTGGGGAAAATCCCACCAATACAGCACCTGGCACGTGTGGTCTCCTACAAGTTTCCTCCAGCACCTGCAGTCAGTCACAAACCTAGCCCACTAAAATGCCCCCATGCATCTCCTGTTCTCCTACGCGCACGCACGCACACACACACACGCACACGCACACAGCACCCCCAAGGGTTCTCCTGGGTCCCACCAGCCAGACAGCCTCCCCACCCCACTGTCCATGCCCTGTGCCATGTGTCCCCAATCCATGCCTCAACTTAGACTGCAGACAGGGACCCCTCATTTATTTGGGATTCATGGCCCCAGTCCTCTTCCCAATAAACTGCAGCCTGGCTCCCAAACACTGGACAATCACATGGGGCCAAGTGGGCAGAGGGTAGGCAGGGGTCTAGGTGGAAGAAGTGAATGGAAAGTAAGAGAACCAAAAGGGCAAGCACTGGCCACCTCCTCCAGCACCCCAAAGCCCTGTCTAAAGCTGGGAGGGAGACCTTGACTGGGGCCACCTCACGCTTCCCGGACCCGCCCCAGGAGGCTGGCATTCTCCTGGCGGAGGGCTCGGTAGTCCTCTCGGATCTTCTCCAGGTTACTGAGAGTCTTCTTGCCCATCTCTGTCTCGATCTGCGACAATTGAAGGTACAGCTCTTCAACTCCCAGGGCTCCTTCCTCACTAGAGCCTCCCCCTTCCCTTTTTTACTCTGGGCCCCTCATCTGCCCCTACAATCCTCTCAAACACCAGCCTGTCCCATCCCACTGCCAGGCAATTGGACTTGGCATTCTCTCTATGTAAAGCAGCCTCTGCTGCATGGCGATTTGTCACCACCTATTCAAGCTGAAGCCCCTGCTGCCAGGGGTCTTGAAACAGGTGTGAAGGCCCCTGGGGCAGAAGCTGGGCCTTAGGAGAGGCCACTAACCTGTCTCTCAGAGGGAATACTCTCTCTTGCTCGCTCTCTCTCTCTCTCTCTATCTCTCTGAGGAGCAAGGCAGAGACTCCCACTCTAGGTTGTGTCTGGTTCCAGCCTCTCTCAGCAAAAACAGCCCAAACAGCTGTCCCCTGCCTGCCTTGGGTTTCTATGTACCCCTGGGACCTCACCTGCTCTTCAAGGTCTCGAATCTCCCGCATGATAGTGCCTGTGTCCTCGATGGTCTGAATAAGCTGGCTGCAGTTCTGCGGACAGCAGGAGCAGAAGACTGAGCCTCCCCACAGGCCCCCACCCACCCACCGCCAGCAGGCCTCTCCCCTCACCTCATGCAGGGCAGCCAGATACTTGTAAGCCTTCCGAACAGCATCATCCTTCTTGGCATCCTGACCGGACAGAAGGGACCTGGATGGTATCAGGGAGCTCCCACTGCCCACCCACGGGCCCTACTACCTCTCATACCCCTGACTTCCTCTTCCATGGGCAAAGCCAGGGCTGGTTGTGGATACACCCACACGGTCCACAGAGGGGCCAGGCCACATTCCACCGGGGAACAGGGGCAGGCAGAGCCCAGCCCCACCCTGACCCGTGCACCCAGCTAGGGCTGCCCCACACCTTGAAGACGAGTTCATCAGTCACCGCAAAGGTCCTGTCCAGTTTCCCAGAGAGGGAATTGATTTCCTTCTGAAGCTCCTTTGTGTCCGACAGGATCTGGCGGAAACCAGGGTGACCGTGAGCCCACATCAGGCAGGCTGGCCTAGCAGCAGGGGAAGTTTTGTGCACACACTCACAACCAGACAGGGCCTGTGTCACTGTCTTCAGGGAGATTGAGGTGGACTGTGTGTGGCTGTGGTGCAGCAGCACGTGGGGACCCAGCTCTCTGCCTACCAGAGGATGAGGCCCGTCATAACCTCACTACACACACCCGCCCCATGGGCATATCTACCGCTGACCCCTCCGCGGCCAGGCCAGGGCAATGCACCTTGGTGATCTCTTCCTTCTGCTTCCGGATGTGGCCCACAAGCTCCAAGATGCGCTGGGTGTAGGCCAGCCGGGACACGTCTCTGGGCAGAGTCTCCAGCTCTGACACCTAGGGAGGGACAGGGCAGGTATTCCCCCAGAACTCACACTCTGCCCAGCGCCAACCCCCCGGGCCCATCAAGGCTCTCACCAGCTGCTTATAGACCTCCTCCTTCCTGCGGGCCTCTTCGGCAGCCGCACGGACACTCTGGTGCAACTCCTGGATTTCTGCCAGCCTTCGGGATGATTCCATCTGCCCAGCACCCCAGGGCCAGGGGTGGTGAGCAGAACACAGGGATGGCTCCCTCGGGAGAAATGAAATATGTCCCACCCAGGCCCCAGTATCCCACCACCTACCTCTCGGCGGTCCTGAAGCTTCCGCAGGTGACGGTACTCGGCAAGGAGTGGGACTCGGTGTTTTTCCCACTGGCCCGCCAAGTGGATGACCCGCTGGGCACTACTTTCTACCACATGCTGAGGGAGGTGGGGGGTTACACATCATATAATCCAGGCCCCTTCAGCCCCAATCCTCCCAGCCCCAGCCCCACCTGCAGCTTGACGAGGTTGGCAGCCGCATCGGGCAGCAGCTCCACTGCACGGCTCTTCAGGCGCAGGGTCTGCTCTTGCTCAGCCATGCTGAGCTCACTCTGCTGACACTCAGTCTCCACCTGCACCATGAACCCCGATCCCAAATCAGTGGGGGAGCCCACTCACACACTCCATCACACCACCTGACCAGGCCCAGAACGCCCTGGCCTGCCCTGAGACCTCACAGATGACCACAAATTCCTCTACCTGCTGGGTTCCCTTCACACCTCTCCTGACACCAACAGATACCTATGGAGCCCTGGTGGTGTAATGGTTAGGCACTGTGCTATGATCAGCTTGGTCGGTGGTGCAAAACCACCAGCAGCTCGGTCACGGAAACCCAAAGGGGGGTCGCTATGAGTCTGCATTGGCTCAACGGCAGGAAATTAGATGGTGACTGGCACCCGCAGGCTCTCCTCTAATACCAACATACCCACACAGACCCCTAGGATTCTCAGGAGAGTGTCTGAAAACCCCTGATGTTAGAGACCCATCTTGTTCCCACAGATGCCTACAGAGGCCTCAAACTCTCGGACCCTCAAACTCCCCCTGAGCCTCACAGGGACCCTCAATCCCTGTAGAACCACCAAGCTCTACAACTGCAAGTCTCCTGGACCCTGAATAGCCTCTCATGCCAAGATTCTGCTGAACCCCAAAGACCTTCACAAGTCCCTCGTGGACCTTGCACAAACACTGCTGCTACCTGTAGCCCTCTGTAGACTGCCCCAAGTCCCTCTCACCCCTTTTGGCCCACTCTTCTGGCTCCGTCCCAGCCCCGTGCAGCCCTCCTCGCATAGGCTTCACCTGCACAAGGCTGATTCCCAGCATCTTCATGTTGGACTCAACCTCCTCAATGTGGTGGTTCACTCCCTCCAGATGCGCCCGAAGGGACTCTAGCTCCTGTTCTTGAGCTGCCCATGTGTCCTGGGAGGCACAGGTCAGTTGGGATTAAGGGGGATGTGGTGGGGAGGGAGGAAATTGGGCTAAACTGGTAAACTGGCAAGGTCCTAGGCCTTCTGCCCCCTCTCTGCTCACCTGTTCAGGCTGTAGGGAGCTGGCAAGCACGTTGGGCATCTGGGCTGCCTGGGCCTTGGGTTCCTAGGGGAGTGAGGAGGGAGCATTAAAGCTGCCAGGGTAGGCCCTGCCCCTGGGAGCCCAGCCACAACCATCCCACCAAGCACTCTTCATGCCCATTCACGCAGCTTCTGTATGAGAATAAAGATGCTGTGGCCTCAGACTAGTGTTTGCACGGAAAGACCTCCCTGGCTCTGACACTGCTCCTGCCCTAGCTCTGAAACCCTATTGGCCTGAGAAGGGCAAGGGTCCCACTGGAGAGAAGATATGCAGAGAAAACACAGGAAACTGCTTGGGAAGAGGTGGTTTATGCACGTATACAACCCCTACAACTCTTCCATGGTCCACACACAGCCACCCTTTCTCCGCTGAAGTCTCCTAAGAAGCCAGGAGCGCTCTCTGGGTGCCCTTGTGCAGTGGAGAAAGGACTTGCCCAGGGGCTTTAGGGAGCCTGTGTGGACAAAGCTGGGGTAGTGGCACATGAAGCAACCCTCCATGCCTGCTCCAGCCCCAGCCCCAGGCAGTGCACCCCACCTTCACACAGACCCCACCAACCAGATGGAAGGTGAACTTCTCTGAATGCGTGAACTGGGAGCCCTTGGGTGCACTAGTCCTGGCCCCAGCACCCCAGGCCTGCAGCAGCTCTCCCAGGTCTCGGGTTTGTGGAGGGGCCCCGAGTGGACTCCAGTTTTGGCGCAGGTACTCAGCCAGATGCTTCTGCAGCCGCTGCCGCTTTGCCCATGTATCATCCTAGAAACAGATGGAGGGGCAGGGCAAGGGTGGAGGCCTGCTGGGCACACAAGGCCCTGCCTCCTCCAGGAAGCCCACCTGACAAGGGCTCCAAGACATTCCCACCGAGGTGGCCCCCTGGCCCCCTCTCCTGCCCCTCGAGTCTAAGCTCTATTGCTGAGGACAGGGGTCTCCTCCTCCCCGCAGCCACTTCTCTACCCACGTGACCCCCCCCAATGGAAAAGGACCAGAGAAAAGAGAAGCAATCAAGCAGCTCCAAAGCCAGCCCGGCCCTGACAGCGTTCGTACGGACAAAGCACAGAATGAGTCAGCAAAGAATTTAGACAGAGGAGGAGGAGAAAGGGAGAGAAGACACACAGACAGACAGACAAGAACAGAGATGATTTTGAGACAATTGGGGAAGTCTAAGATTATGAACCCAGTAGTAGGTTCTACTGAGAGACCATCGGTAATTTTTTTAGAGGGGAGAAAGACCCCCGGGGGTTATGTTTTTAAAAAATGAGTGGTTCTTATGAATTATGAGATGGATTCCTAAGTATTTAGAGTTGAAACAACATGATGTCTGAGATTTGCTTTAAAATACTATACCTTGTCCCCTCTCCCCACAAAACAGAAAACAACTTGGGAGAGAACAGATTTTAAAAGATGGTCAAAATGTTTATAATTGGTGGATGATAGGTAAATAGAACTCATTAGAATATATTCACTGTAATTTTGTGTTTGAAAAGAACTATACTTTTTTTTAAGCGAGAGAAAAGAGATAGAGCCAATGGCAGCCTGGCTAGGGGTGAGAGGGACCATTCAGGAAAAGAACAAGGCTGACGCAGAGGCAGAGGGAAAGGAGGATAGAGACAGAGATGTGGCGGAGAGAAGGGGAGACGGAGAGCCGGAGTAGAGGGAAGGAGGGGCAGGCAAACCACAGGACAAGGAAGACCGTGAACAGGAAGAGACTGAAAGTCTAGCAAGACCAGAATGTTGAGCCCCAGCGGCACTAGCAGAGGCGGGAAAAGTGAGCACCTAGGGGACAAGAAGTGGGCAGGACAAATGGAGGAGGGTGACAAGTTCTGAGGACTCTGTAGTCGCGAGGAGCTGGATGTGAGGGTCTCCTTGTAACCACCACTCCAAGAGGAGAGGACTATCCTGAAACTGAGCCTCAGAGGAGGGCTTCTCCAAGGCCCAGAGTCTTTCTGACTTCAATGCCTCACTTCTTTGAGGTAGGGAGCTTAGCAGAGAACACACGGAGGGGAGACAAGGCAAGAAAGGGGCAAAGTGGGGAAAGGAGCAAGGCATAGGACTCAAGAGAGGCAAGCTGGGAGCCACAGGGAGCAGAGGAATGGCAGCAGGGAGCCACACTCGGCTGTACCTGCAGCGGGACTCGGGATGCTCGGCGTAACCATTCCTCATCCCCTGCACGCTCCCGGGCCGTTTGCTGGCAGAGCTGGATGGCATGGCGTTCCAGGAGCGAAGCTGCCCTCCCAGCAGGCTGGGGCACCTGGATGGGGGCTGGTGGCAGCAGGGGACTCCCTTGGAACTCCCGTGACTCTGGGATCAAACACAGAGTCAGACAGTCCTCCCTCACTGTGGTGAAGCCAGGCCCACCCCTTAAGCTCCCCCCAGCACCCACACTCACCTCCTCTGGAACTCAACTCGGGCATGGTCAGCCTGCTAGCATGGAAAGACTTCTGGGGTGCTGAGCCCTGGAAGAGGGGCAGGGTCAGAGCCTCCAGGATAAAGTATGACAGGGGATGCCACTGGGAGGGGGCCAAACACCTGTATACCCAGCTGGAGGCCACGAAGGCAGGGCAGGGTCATGGGGTGATCGACAGGAGTTGGAGGGACCAACCTGGATGAGCTGCAGCTTGGGAGTACGCAGGAGGGGTGGGACCCAGGGCAGAGCCAGCTGTTCCCGGATTTGGCTCCCAATGGCTCGGAGAATAGCTGAGTCACCTGGAGGAAGGAGTTTTAATCATGCGACAACACTGCAATTCCCCAAATGCATGCATACTCTGGGGACCCAGCAGGGACCTCCTCCACAGAGATACATATCAATCTAGTTATCATATTTAGGGAGCACCAACTATGGACCAATCACTGGTCTACATCAGTGAACAAGCAGGTAAGTACCCCTGCTCTCATAGTAAAGCCGAGATTCTAATAGAGGAGAGAGACTGTAACAAAGGTGATAGGTAAAATATAGAAGTGCCATGCGGTGATAAGAAAACAAGGATAAGGCTTGTTGAGAGGAGAGACTAGTTTTAAACCAGGCAGTCATAAGAAGGTCTCCCCAAGGTGACGTGTAAACAGAAACCTCAAAGAAAGGAGGGGTTGAATTATGAAGATCTTTAGGAGACTAATTCAGCAAATATCAAGGCCCTGGGGCTGAAGTGTGGTTAGAATGGAGTAAGCAAGGTGTGTGTGTGTGGGGGGGGGGCTATAAAGGGGAGAGGTCATAGAAACCCCTCCCAGCACCAACTCACTACTTGGGTCAGCCCCAACCCCAGTCCCAGCCCTTTTCTGACTCCTAGTCCTCCCGCTTAGCTCTCCCTAAGACACCTACCCTCACCAATACCCATCACCCATTTTTCTACTCCCACCTCTTATAGCCCCTAGAAGACAAAGGGAAAAACCCATCACCCCTTATAGCTTCGCCCCGGGACCCCTGTACCTGTTGGCTGATCTGCAGCTTCAGAGGCATCAGTGGGCAGACGCTCAGCCAAGAAGAGCAGCAGATCCCTGAGGTCAGGCTCACTGGGGTACAGGAAGTTCTGATAACCAAGTTCCAAGGGATAGCCCAGGTCCTAGAGGTCGAGGGGAAGCAGGGAGAAGACAAGCATAGCAGCCAATCAAGCAGGATCTTCCTGTTCCAGGAGCCTTGGGCCCAGGTTGCAAATGCATGAACACTCTCACTAACCACCATCACCTTCCGAACCTTCCTCTGGCTCCCCAAGGCCTCCAGGCCACTGAAGGGAGCAAGAGGATTACTAAAATTAACACTTGGGGAGAAGACAATGAAGCATATTAAGACTCTAGCATTTTTTCCAATTATGACTCGGAATCCAGAAGCTACCAAGAGAAGATGGGTCATGATTGATGAGTTGAATCAAATTATTAAATGTAAAACTATGATCTGCTCTGAAAACCTTCCCTTAATTCACAGAAAGTTGTTTTTTTAAGGGGGGGAGAGAGAAGAAGATGGGTCTTTCTGAATACATAGAAAACAAAAACAAACTCATTGCCATCAAGTCAATGCCAACTCAGCGACCCTACAGGACAGGGTAGAACTGCCCCTGAAGATTTCTGAGACTGTAACTGTTTATGGGAGTAGAAAGCCTCACCTTTCTCCCACAGACAGCTGGTGGTATCAAATTGCTAACTTTGTGGTTAGCAGTCCAACACATTAACCACTACACCAGCAAGGCTCCCATACAGAGGAAGAGCAGTTGGAAAGTACGACCTTGGTGATAACTGTTTCAGCTGGTAGTTTTGAACGTGGACCTTGCAGATTGCAGCCCAATGTGTAACCACTATGCCACCAGGGCTCTATTCAAAACATGAAAAGAAATATAAACTTTAAAGAAAAATATAGATAATACATAAAGTCAAAAGAGTAATCACAAACTGGGGTAAATATCTAGAGTTCATCACATACGAAAATAGCTAATAAGCATATTAATTCTATAGGGTACCCCCAAAATAAATAGGAAAAACATGAACAGGTAAGCATCACCATAGTTTGGCATATGTTCATCACCTAAAAGTCTCTGTACTTTGAACTTGTATTTCTGTTGTAAGTGTATGAAATACTCATGCCTAACTTTGTTTACAACAGAAATACAAGTTCAAAGCACAGAGATTTTAAGGTGATGAAAATGTTGTCAAACTATGGTGATGCTTGTACAATTCTGTACACATACTAAAAACCACTTACTTGTATACTTAAAATGGGTAAATTGTGTGGTGTATAAATGATGTACCAAAAATTATATCTCAATAAAGCTATTACCAAAATATATTTTTATATAGAGACTACAATGAAAAGCAAACTGAGATACTGTAAACAAGTGATCAAACTTAGTAACACTGATCATGTTGCCATATATTTCTAATTATATGATCCTGACAACTATTAGGAAAGAGATAAAATTACTCATGTGGGAGTCCGCCAAAAATCTGAAGTTAATCATGAGAAAACCATCAGACACAACTGGACATCCCCTTACAGAAGGGTCACAAGGAAGAGACAAGCCAGTCAGGGTGCAGTATAGCACCGGTGAAACACACAACTTTCCCTCTAGTTCTTTAATGCTCCCCTCCTCCCCCCTCCCCCACTATCATGATCCCATTCTACCTTACAAATCCGGCTAGACCAAAGGATATACATGGGTACAGATAAGGGCTGGAAACACAGGGAATCCAGGACAGATAAACTCCTCAGGACCACGAATGAGAGTAGCGATACCAGGAGGGGAAGGGGAAGGTGGGGGAGAAAGGGGAAACTGATGACAAGGATCTACATATAACCCCCTCCCTGGGGGATGGACAACAGAAAAGTGGGTGAAGGGAGACATCGGACAGTGTAAGATAGAACAAAAT